AGGAAACAAATCCTGACCGCTATCCGCATGGTGACTTTGTCTCGCAGCAACGCCACCGAGTTAACTGCGATGTTGGAGCACTTGACGTTGGAGCAGGAGGAGCCGACTCCGACATTGGTAGAACGTGTAATCATGGGACAACCGAGTGATCCCTTGCTTACGCGATATCGAGACTGTATTGAGGAGTATGGCCCTAAAGGCTATCACATTGACGAAAAGGGAGCATTGCGGTTGGGAAACCAGTTGTGTGTACCAGGCGACCAAGCGGTGAGACAGGAGATCATACCCGAGGCACATCAGACGAGGCTAACGATACATTTGGGGGCAAGTAAGATGTATCAGGAGCTTTGTCGATGGTATACGTGGCTGAGGATTAAGATAGACGTCGTCGGTTTTGTCGGAAGATGTCTCACTTGCCAGCAGGTGAAGGCATAAGTCGTAACGATAGATTCGAAGGGCAAGTTGCAGTCGTTGGAGATACTGCAATGGAAACGGTGTTGGTTGTTGATCGTGCCGATCTAGATGAATGGATGGTCAAGTAATAAAAACCTAGACTAAGTCGATTCCATACGGATTCGATGTAGTATTAGGGTCGAACATAGGGACCGAGAGGTGATGGAGTCGATTGTGATTCTAGCGAAGGTCGAGAGCAAATTGGTTGGTTGGAAAACTCTATATCTAAAGACATTGTAGGCAGTGGCGGACCCATGTTATGACCAATGGGGATACATGCCTCCAGTACTGTTAAAAAAATGTCTTTGTATAATTTATTTTTTCATGTCATTTATTTTTTTATTGGGTACATATATACATTATTATATGTCCATGCCCCCAATTAAAATTTGGTGTGGGTCCGCTACTAACTACAGGTTCGGGGGTTCACCAATGCTATGGATGGTTTCTAAAGATCTAGATTGAATTTCAATTTTGATAGATTGGGGAAACTCTAGCTTTTGAACTAGAACGCGTCCGGATCAAGGATCATCGTTCTCTAACTAATGCTTTCCTATCAACTTTCGCATCTATAAGTCTACATTAGAAGCAACGTCCGCTATCATTGTTCCTAGATCGAATTAAGAATTCCTTATCAAGTCTCACCTATACGTTCAAAATTAATAATTAAACCTATCTCATGAACGAATTCCGGTGTTAACTAATCCAAATTTTTTTTCAATTAATTAAACCACATCAATTCCATAGGGTAATCAGTCCTAAGAATGCATTACATTCAATTCATAAAACCAGATCTAAACAAAACATTCAATAAACATATTAAGAACATAATCCAATTCATAACATGGTTAGAATCCCTAGACTACAATAAGTAAACTACTCACACATCGTGACAACCATAACATAACAAGGGTACATCGTAGATTCATACAACATGACAAAAGAGATAGATAAAGAAGACTTAGGAATGATGAAATTGATCTCTAAACTCTGTGTTGCAATGATCCTTGAGTCCCTAAATGCTCTAAATGCCCGAAACTGTGGGCCCAAACGTGGCTGTCTCAACAACTGTGAAATGTGTGAACCCCCTCTCGGTTTCCGTACAGTTCTTTTTATAGAACTTTCGAAATATCGATATCGATGTTGTCCAACATCGATATTCCTCCGAAGTGTGGCGATCTCGATGTTATGGAACGTCGATATCGACGTTTTGGAAGGTCGATATCGGGACTGCTCAGATCTTGAGGTATGTGAACATCGATCTCGATGTTGTGGAACATCTAGATTGGAAAATATCGACGTTGTGGAAGGTCGATATCGGGACTGCTCAGATCTTGAGGTATGTGAACATCGATCTCGATGTTGTGGAACATCTAGATCGGAAAATCTGATGTCTGATCTCGAGGTGGCTGGAAAAAGTCGATATCGATGTTATACAACATCAATATCGATGTTCTTAACATCGAGATTCTTTCTATTCCGTTCCGAAATCCGTTTCTGACAAGTCCGCGACCTTCCTTGGCTCATCTATGATCGTCCACTTGTTCCATTTAAGCTCCCGTTTTAGCTCTGTTTTCGTCCAAATACGTAGATATTCTTGAAATAACATCAAAGAAAACGATATTTGTGCCTAAAATGCAGTCTAAATACTAAATATGTACGGAAAAGAGAGGTGAAATATCTAAAACCATAGAAAAATAACGTCCAAACCGATGTCATCAGTTGTAATGTTTTAGGAAGATCCATGATATGATATTTGACATTGTATTGATTCGTTTGGTTTTGTGAATGCATTACTTTTCCTTTATATAATTCGCATGATCGTTATATATTGGTATCTTTGAATCATTTTAGAATGATTCTAAACTCCCTGATCTGTTATCATCGTGGGAGCGATGATGAATTAAGACCAGCATGATGTGTGATTGATGATCATGGTAATGATCATATGTAGTGGATGTAAATCACAATCATGGGTACTCGTTAGGAACGAGTGACTGGATGACCCGCATGAGATTGTCATATAGACACGAGTCATGACTTGAATCTCATGTATCGGTTTGTTCTTTGATCCCCAGACTTGAGATGTCTAGAGTATCAGATATGAGGAGTAGCGTATCTTGACTGTGTCAAACATCGTCTTTAACCATATGATTATAACGGCGTTGCTCAGATACGTTCACAAATCATATGGAGACAGTAGACATACAATAAGAGATTTGTCAACTCTACAACGGGAGAGACATCGTTGTGGCCTTCGTGGAAGTCAGACTGTGAAAAACGCATGGCCACACGTATTATCAAAGATTCCAGACTTACCTTCAATTGAGTTTTTAGTGCTTGAATTTTATCGTCAATTTTTTTTTTTCTCAAGTTTTCTCATTTCTCCTTGTGATATCCTTGTTGATGGAATAATTTTGTCAACATCCGACTACAATTTTAAAAAAATTAGAACACATTAGATTAAATAGATAAATGAAAATCTGATGTAAGGTCTTGTAAATGCCTACAAGGCGAGGGTTTCGCTGTCTTGACCAAACCCACTTTTTATAAATGCACTGATCCACTAGAATTTTAAAAAAGAGTTAATTTCTTTTAAAAAATAATGATAAAATTTTATGAAAAATGTTTCCACTATAATTTCTTTTATTTACAAACTAAATCTAAGTTAGAGACAATAAAATTTTATTAGTAAAAATTAGTAAAGCGGTGGATGTATGACTTCAAGGCTTATAAACATTTTATTACGTTATTCTATTTCTACCGAATAAATGAAATTACAGAAATATACTTTCCATGTGACACATCCTTGTAATACCCCGAATTTCAATAAAAAAAATAAAAAAATATAAATTGAAATTAACTACGCTTGATCAATGGAAATGCGATGATTAAGATAAAGCCCTTAAATTATGCTAACTAGATGAGGAACGAGGAATAGACCACGACATGAAGCCACTCGGACGAGTCGGTTTAGCGTGGAACGACCGAGCCTAATGAGGAAAAGAAAAGGATGAAAATAGGATAGACCGACCAGTCTATGTAACAACCCACAATCGTTATGAATTGTCGAAACTGCCCTCACACAGCAACACGAGACCTTCCAACGTGTTTTGTCTTCACTCGCACGCGTACCGAGATACTTTCCAGTAGGTCACACATCATGAGATTGCTCCAGAACCAGCACGCTTTGCTGGGACACACGGGATCCTAGACCGCCGGTTCAAAACCATGTTAGGATCTGGTCCGCGGGCTTACGCAACAGAATTGGCGTTCAAAAATTCTTTGAACCGCCCACAGACCAATCTTTCGATGAAGAACTTCTCTTGGGAGAAAAACTAACCTTTTGATTCCGAATCTGAAAGGTTTGCTTGATCAGGCCTAGGTATTGAATGGGCCAACACCCTCTTGAGCAGTCCACACCCTTGGGATGGTTTCCAACACTTGGAAAACTAGCTTGCTAAAGCTTGAAGAGATCAAATCTCTTGTGTATGGATCAAGAACACTCTCTTGAACTTGAGAGAGAGTTCTCCAGAGTTCCCTAGCCTCTCAGATGGCTAAGGGTCGGGATTAGGTCGAGTGATAGGTTCCCTACCTGCTTCCCACCAAGAAAAAGGCGAGAAAACGCGAAGTTTGGATTTTTCAGTGTCTTAGTCCGGGGCTGACCAACTCTTGGTCCGCTGGACCAGCCGAGCTCCGGAGCGCGAAGTTCAATCCGCCTGACTTATTGGTCCGGCGGACCAAGATTCCGGTCCACCGAACCAGCCATGCTCGAACCAACACGATCTGCTCCGACTGACTAGTCTGGTCCGCTGACCAACTTTTGGTCAGCTCCGGACCAACTAGTGTTTTTTTCGCCAAGTCAGTCCGTTTCTCTGATAACGCAAATCTAGGTATAGAAATAATGCTCAAGTGATAAAAACTAGATACAGCGAATACCGCAAGGATACGGATCAACTGTAGTACCAGGGTCGAACACAGGGAATAGTTAACTCTAGGAACAAGACTCGACCAAGAATTAGATCAGGAAATATGGAATGAAATATGTGAATATCGGAAATAAAACAATAAACTAACTAAGTAAAATCAGATAGATAAACCACCGTAGCTTCGGGATAACCTTAATGAGTAGGGATTGTTTCTAAGAATGGAGAATCTACGAATATCGAACTCTAATCGGGGATCTCAAGTTCTAATATCAGATTTGGCTCTCTCAAGTCCTAAATCCACTATCCAATAATTTAACCTATCGATCTCTCAACCTAATAGATTAAAATATCAAATGCATTAACGATCACTATCACAGTTCCTAAACCGATGAACCTATCTCTCAATAGTCTTAATCAATTCATTCAATGAATTCATTCCGAATCAAATCTCAACTCTCGTTGCAAATAAGAATCTAAAATCAATCAATCAACTGGCCAACAAGATCAAAAGCAATAAACTCAGTTCAATTAAACCGAAGAGTATCGATAACGTAGTCTCGGAAAATAAAAACCAAACAAATCCCTACAAGGTTAAATCCCTAGCTACAGTGAAACGGCTACTCACTACCCATAACAACGAACGAGTTCAAATCAATAAAGAGAAACATAGAAACAGATAAAGAAGACTCACAACGATCTCTCGACGACGATTCTTCAATCTCTGCTCCCGGGAAACTCCGTCTTGATTCTCTCTCGAGTTCTCTAGCTTCTGCTGTGATCTCTCGATGATCTCTGAAGCTCAAGACGTCTCCTATTTATTTGCTTGGCAGCTGGGCTTCTTCCTTTGCTGAAAACGGAAGTCCGGATGCAAAATAAGAAGTTTTCCCGTAATGCAACACGGCTATGTCGAATGCAACACGGTCCGTGTCAAATCTCTGTTAAAAATCTGTACTTTAGACTTGGGCTGAACACGGCCGAGTTTGAATCAACACGGCCGTGTCGAATGACAACACGGT